TACAGGCCTGGGTGAAGACAGTACTGGATCCCTGGGCTGTTAAGTGTCTATTTATTAAAAGTCAGCAGCTATAGTATTTGTAGCTGGCAACGTTTATTTTTTTAAAAATTTTTAACAAGACTGAAACTCATCGTTAAAAGGGCCTCAGTCTTTATCTTGTTGAGTAAATGGGCACTCTGCCACATACAGATTAATGTATGTATTTTTAACACCTTCCCGCCAAGCCTATAGCAGATTGATGGCCGGGCGGGAAGCTCTTCCTTCTGAGTGGACATCCAATGATGCCCTGCAGAAGGCACCACTCACACGGCCCTAGTGCCATGCAGCGGCACAATCCCATCACCTGCTGTGTCCACTGGACACAGCCAATTACAGATCACTACAACGGCCCACTGCCAGTGTCATGTGATCGCTATGACCAATCACAGCAGATCACACGACAATTGTGTACAATGGATGGATTCCGTTCATGCCATCCATTGTATACAATTGTGTTGTTTGCTGTGATTGGTCATAGCAGTCACATGGTACAGACAGGGCCAATCACAGCCCATCTGTACCATGTGATGAGATTTGACCAATCACAGCTAATCACAACAAAAGACGCTGAATTATTCAGTCTCATTCAATAAGAACAGTTGCTAATATCAATTAAATACATTGGTATAATCAATCATAATGTGTAAAAAAAAAAATCCTGATCACTTGCCCAGAGTAGTACAATGTCACAGTGTGTTGAAAACAATATTAAAAAAAGAAAACATTTAATAAAAAAGTTTTTTAAACTTTTTTTTTTAATTTCTTAATTTTCCAAAAAATTGTAACAAAAAAACTTGCCATGCCTCTTACTGAATACCTTGGACTGTCTAGTTTCCAAAAATGGATCATTTGGGAGCATTTGTACTATCCTCGCATTTTTGTGCCTCAAAAAATTAGATTGGCTATCAGTACATCAGGATTGATTGATTGTCAGATATATATCCCATAGTTTGTGTACTCTCTAACTTTTCTGCAGACTAAATAATATACACTAAATTTGGTTATTTTCACCAAAGGAATGTAGCCGAATACATTTTGACCTAAATTTATGAAGAAAAGTTATTTATTTGCAAAACTGGATAACAGAAACAACAAGACACTTTTTAAAAAAAACCTTTTTGTTTTTTTTTTTTGTTTATTTAGCAAAAATACAAACAATTCAGTGGTGATTAAATACCACCAAATGAAATCTCTATTTGCGTGAAAAAAATTATAACTTTTTTTATGAGTACATTGTTGCATGACCGTGCAATAGTCATTCCAAGTGCAACAATGCTGAAAGATGAAAATTGTCCTGGGCAGGAAGGGGGTAAAAGTGCCTGATATTGAAGTGGTTAAATATACTGTTTCAAATTATGTGTGTAGGCCATAAATCATAAAACTCAAGTCATAGATGTTGTACTCATTACTTCAATATACTGTGAGACACTGGGACACTGGCTGGCAGGATTGTGGATGGTATATATATATGTCACCTAAGTGTACAGTATATGTGCGTAGGTTCTCATTTATAGTGAGAGGTCCCAGGGTTTGTGTCTGATTTGGGAGAAAACAAACTTTTTTCAGAACCTGAATAAGTCTTGTTCTGGGTCCTGGAGCCCAGAGTATCTGTAGAGCTTGGGTTGGGAAAATCCTCAGTTCCTAGGTACACATTTTACCTACTGGCTAGACTTCATTAATTACTCCCAGCTGTGGAAAGATGTGAGCTCACTAATTCTCAGACCTCTCTATCTCCCTCTCTATCTCCTATCTTTCTCTCCTGTAAGAAACTGCCTCTGGGTGACAAAGTTAACTGCTGACAGAACAGTAAGAAAGTACAAGAGCTATCTGTTTATTTTGAGGAACCCATTAGGGTACATCCTATTTGTTAGGAATGAGTTTAGTAGTGGCTCAGACAAGCAGATGTTTTCTTTGTTTTATGCTATGGGCTTGCTGTACAAAACCCTCCCTAAATCAAAGTGCAGAACAAATCTGCCTGGACTAATCATGGGTGTCCTGTTCATGGTTTATCACTGCTAACGCCAGTTGAGCCTGTCCCTATACAGTACCTAATATATGTTTTTATCTAATTAAGCTCTGACTACAGTAAACTGAAATTTGATTACCTATTAGGCAATGCACTTTTTTTCAAAGCTACTTTGCATAATCCAAATAGTAAGCAATTGTCTATATTTCATTTTCACTGGATATTAAACTAAAATTACATTCTTCTGTAGCCCAAAACCCTCCCTCCTCCCCTCAAGCATGTGCATATTAATTAAAGTCAGACCTCAGATAAGCATTGCAACATCTTTTTTCGTCTTTGCAACAATAGGGATGGTGGGTTATATCCCTTGGTTTTGTTGACTTAAATGGTTTACCTGGACATTAATATGTCTATGGTATTTCCCATTGAGCTTATACTTTAATGTATCTTTTTTTTAATAAAGTTTAAAAAGTGTAGAGTTGGAAAGAGGTGACAACATTTTTTCCCTCAAGGCCCATTCAGATTAGGTGTCTTGTTATGCATGCCTTTCTAAGGGTTTGTAAAGTATGTTTACACCATAATGCATTTCGCAACATTACTTTGTATTTTAAGCTGCAAGATGCTGTAAAAAAACTGCCATTCAAGTGACTGGAATGGGCAGCATATGCATAAAACAGAGTAAAGGTCTCTTTAAGGGGTATTCAGTTGTCTCGCCCTTGCACATTACTAAGCAGTTGTACTCCTTTTATGTTGGAGAATATGCTCAAATTATGAGATGGTGAGGATGAGAGGGTAAAAGGTCTCCTTGGTTATTGCTTGGTAGTTGGAAAATGTAGTTGAGATGTGTTAGGATGGTAGTAGCTTTTCCACTTTTCTGCATCACAGCAGTAGCAACTACCTTAACCTGGTATTGCATCACCATCACTTCTTTGGCCTAGGCTGACCATTTTAACACTAGTCCTGTTATCTCCAGGTGAGAATGTGCTTACACAAAGGAAGATTGTGGGCAACAGAGAATTGATGTCAGTTGCAGTATACAAGTAAGAGAGATCAAGTGCAACTGTGATGTTAATGAAAAATGTCATTCACAACTGATTTATGATATTCTGCTTTCATTAAAATAAATTGTTTTGCACTGGGTTCCTTGTCTTTCACTGTTTTATCAGGGTTCCACTAATTTTGTACAAGATATTCTGAACCCTTGGCAAATCAAACCTGGGTAGATTAACCCATCCTTAGTAGTAAAGATGTGCAAAGTACAGGAAACCAAAGCGTCCATTATCAATATGAAAGGTAATAATCCATTTGTGGTTTGGGGGCCTCATTTATCATATCTTGCATATACTCATTGGTCTTTGCGTTACTTTAATGAGCAAACCTAAATGTGTAGTTCTTTAACATATATAAAGTAATTGCCAGACATGACATTCTACCTTAGGGTAACGTGTAAAGGACAGTAACTCATAGAAACGAATTAGCAAATATTTCAATTGCTGAAATTACTCTGCACTCCAAAAATGTGAAATCTGATTACTATTTCATCAAAGTTTTTTGCACTGCCATGCTAAATAGGCATAGAACACTAAGCAGGTGGATTATAAAACAAAGCCCAAAATACGAAATACAAGTCACAATAGAAATATGTATGTAGCATGAGGTGCTGGACACATTTCTGGCTGTATTCCTATATATTTCCAAGGACAAACAGACATGTCAAGGCAAATAATCTTTTTAATTCCTGTAACACATGGGGGTTAACATTGCACATGACAAGTCCCTGTGCTCTAGGCTATACTATATATGTTTCAGCTCAATCTTTCCAAGCAGTCTCTTAACACATACATAGGAATTTTGAGAAAGTGCAAAATGTCATGTAACATTGTGAATATTTTAATATATAAATATAGAATAACCTTTAGAATTGTTCAAATGTAATATTTCTAGATGTGGAAAATGTATAAACATTCTTGTCAATGTATTTTATATAAACCATTATTTTAGTCATGGTTTTATGTAAAAACTTGTAATACATTTAGCTAAAAAATGCCATGTTCATATGAAATTGAGGTATTTTGCTTATATATAGCCTAAATTTTTTCTTTAGTTTTGGATGGAGTAGAAAAGAATTAGAGCCTCCGATAAAGGCTAAGTGCACCTTTTAATTTTAAATACCAGGTTCCCTATGTACCAATATAGCATTAATGTACTTCTTTTGCAGAAAAATTTCTATTTGAAAAGAAAAAGCTTTCTATTTGTCTTAGACCAGGCTTTACCTCCAGATTGTTGTATAAAAAAACTCCATTACTTCCTGGATGGCCCTTAGGTTGGGAAAACCATTAACCACTTGCATAGCAGATGTACTGCTACAGGGTGGCTTCACTGGGCAAAATCATGTACAGTACTCAGCATAAATGAGTACACCCCAACATATTTGTGTGAAAACCTTTGCTTTTCTTTCAGAATCATCATGGGAATTTGTATGGGACCCTATTCTACAAAATACTCCCACAAATGCAGGCCATTGATTGTAAACAAGATTTGTTAATTTGCACAGACAAAAAAGTATTTTTCCTAACAAATTCATTTAAGACCATGTTGCAAAAATGAATACACCCCAATGAAGGTCCTAGAAGCAAAGCTACATTTTAGACAACAAAATCCTAATTAACAAGAATTCAACTACAGGTGAGTCTAATTATTCATTAAACAGGTGTCCAGAAGACAGTTGATTTTAAAATGGCATTAATTAACTAGTTGCCGACCGCAGATAGCTGACTGACGGCTGCACTGCGGCCGGCCAGTTCTGGGTGGATGTCATATGACGACCTCCCAGAACGCGCTCTCCTGCGCACCCCAGGGGGCGCGCGCACCGGCGATCTCCGTGATCGCTGTGTCCTATGGGACACAGCTGATCATATGATGTGGTAAAAGGCCAATCACAGCGGCCTTTTACCACGTGATCAGTGGTGTCCAATGACACGCTGATCACAGGGAAATGCAAGTGCCGGTTCTCGGCTGCACTTTCCTCACGCTGTCAGATCGTGAGGAAAGTACTGCCGAGAACCGGCAGTTGTCAGAGCGAGGATCGGCACCGATCATCAGGGCACTGATGATCAGTGCCCTGATGATCGGTGCCCAGCAGTGCCACCCACAAGTTCCGCCCACCTGTGCCCAGCAGTGCGCCCACTAGCTCCGCCCACCTGTGCCCAGCAGTGCACCCACCTGTGCCCAGCAGTGCACCCACCTGTGCCACTCTGCAGTGTCACACACCTGTGCCCAGAAGTGCCACCTACCTGTGCCCAGCAGTGCCACCCACATGTGCCCACCAGTGCCACCCACCTGTGCCCACCCACCAGTTGCCCACCAGTGTCACCCACCAGTGCAGCCCAGCAGTGCTGCCAGTCAGTGCCACCAGTCAGTGCCCAGCGGTTGTGCCAGTCAGTGCCGACGGTCAGTGCCCAGCAGTGATGCCAGTCAGTGCCGTCTATCAGTACCCATCATCAGCGTCACCTATCAGTGCCGCCTATCAGTGCTGCATATTAGTGCCGCCTATCCGTGACACCTCATTAGTGCTGCCTATCAGTGCCGCCTATCCGTGCCACCTCATTAGTACTGCCTATCAGTGCCCTTTAGTGCTGCCTATCAGTGCCCATCAGTGCCACCTATCAGTGCCCATCAGTGCTGCCTCATCAACGCACATCAGTGAAGGAGAAAAATTACCTGTTTGAAAAATTTATAATAGAAACAAAGAAACTTTTTTTTTTTTTAATTTTTTGCAATTTTTTTTATTTATAGAGCAAAAAGTAAAGCGCCCAGCGGTGATTAAATACCACCAAAGGAAAGCTCTATTTGTGAGAAAAAAATGATCAAAATTTCATAAGGGTACAATGTTGCATGACCGCGCAATTGTCAATCAAAGTGCGGCAGTGCTGAAAGCTGAAAATTGGCCTGGTAAATAAGGGGTATAAGTGCCTGGTAGGCAAGTGGTTAAAGAAAATCCCTTCCCATTTCATTCTGTCAGCAATGGCACCACATGGAAGAGAAATGTCTCAAAGCCTGGGAAAGAAAATAATTTCTTTACAGAAGAAAGGTGAAGGCTACACGAAGATCAGCAAAGCTTTACTTATCAGTCAAAATACTGTAGCAAAAGTGATACAAAAATTTAATAAAGATGGAACTGCAACCATCTCACAGAGATGTCCAGGCCATCCATTGAAGTTAACACCTCGACAGGAGTGTCTTCTGATGAGAAAGGTTGAAGAAACTTGCCATGCAAGTTCACTGCAGTTTGCTAAAGAAGTAGAAAGCCAAACTGGGGTGATTGTTTCCCTTGACACAATATAGCGTAAACTACAGAGGAATGGCATGCAAGGGTATCGTCCATGAAGGAAGCCTCTCCTAATGTCCATGCTCAAAAAAGCCCACCTAGAATTTGCAGGGCCCATTTTGAAAAAGAAGACTACTGGAACTCTGTACTCTGGAGTGATGAGACCAAGATAAATGTTTTTGGTACTGATGGTTTTAAAACTGTATGGTGTTGCAAAGGTGAGTAGTACAAAGAAAAATGCATGGTGCCTACAGTGAAACATGGTGGTGGCAGTGTCGTTCTGTGGAGCTGCATGAGTGCTGCTGGTGTTGGGGAGCTGCATTTCATTGATGGTATAATGAACTCACAGATGTACTGCTCTATATATAAAGAGAGGATTCTACCATCACTCCGTGCCCTTGGTTGTCGTGTACTTTTCCAACATGACAATGATCCAAAACACACATCTAAGGCCCCTGTTGCATTGCTGAAGAAGAACAGGGTGAAAGGGATTCAGTGGTCAAGTATGTCTCCTATGAGGAATTCTGAAGAGACAAGTTGAGCATCATTCTCCATCCAGCATCCAGGCTCTAAATGAGGTAGTTCTTGAAGAATGAAAAAAGATAGATGTTGCAATATGTTGCTAACTTGGTCTTCTAAGCATGAAATGAACTAATGCTGTCCTTACAAATCATGGAGGTCATACAAAATACTAGATCAGAGGCGTAGCTAGGATATTTTGCTCCCGGGGACGAACTACAAAAATTGGCGCCCCAGCAGCCCTCCCCGTTTAATCACATCAGTGACACCAATGATGGGGCACTATTCCTCCCACTGACACCAATGACACTTACCTTGCTGACCCCTGCTCCAGCCTAGGCTCCTTCCCTCTCCCATCCACAGCCAGCATACCTTTTTGCAGCAGCACCATCTGCACGGCACACTTACCGGTCAGCTGTCTTCTTCACTTGCTCCGGCCGCTCCCTCACTCAATCTTCGTGCTGCCGCTCGGCTCCTCCTCTCCAAGCTCCGCCTCCTCGCAGGTGATTGGCCGCCTGTGTGCCTTTCCTAAGCTACAGTTCTGGCACCCAATCACCGGTGAGGAGGCGGAGCTTGCAGAGGGAGGTACAAGCTGCCATAGGCTGTCCAGTGATCCCGAGGGTGTTGCCAGATGACAGGGGTGGCATGTTATCCCGCCCACACATCGCGTCCAGGGAAAAGAAGACACCGGACCTGCGGACCTCTCTACCCCTCCTCCAGCAGCGCCTCCTGGACTGGATCGTTGTGGGACTGGAGCACGGAGCCAGGTAAGACACAGTAGCCCGCTGCCCACCCCTGTACTAAGTGACCCTTCCGTTGGAAGGGGGGGTGGCGGCATCGCGCCGCCCCCCTAAAAGGTGCCGCCCTAGGCAAATGCCTTGTTTGCCTCGCGGCAAATACGCCCCTGGTTGAAAGCCTAATTTTGGCACCCCTGTACCTTGGCGCCCGGGTACATATGTACCCCCCTGCCCCCCCCAGCTATACCTCTGTACTAGATATAGTAGTTTTTGTTGTGGGGTGTATATTCATTTTTGCATCAACTAATTTGAGTAAAACTGAAGATTTTTTTAATCTAAGTTATATTATTATTAACCTTACCTTCATGTAATGAGCTAAACAAATGTTCTATAGCGCTCAGTTTTGTCAGATTTTTAGAAATTGTTCTTGTGTTCATTGAGAGATTGAATAAAATCTTACTTTTCCAAAGGGGTGTATTCATTTATGTTGAGCACTGTAAATATACGTGATTTCGCTTTTCCCGGTAGGGGGCGCGTGCCAACCTACTCACGTTGCTATTGGCTCCTGAGGATATCATATCTCTCTCCTGTCAGCATGGACGTGCTGCTTTTAGCAGGTCTGCTTAGTAAAAAAGCACACAGAACACAATAAAAACACTCCCTAACACAGTTAACCCCTTGATCGCCCCAGATGTTAACCCTTTCCTGCCCAGTGTCATAAGTACAGTGTCAGTGCTTTTTATTAGCACTGATCACTGTATTAGTGTCACTAGAGATGTTAGTGGCAGTTAGTCAGTTCCCACCCAGTATCAGATTGCCTGCCACAGTCCCGCTATAAGTTGCTGATCGCCACCAATAAATAAATAAATAAATAAAAATTCCACTATACAGGTGAAACTTGAAAAATTTGAATATCGTGCAAAAGTTCATTTATTTCAGTAATGCAACTTAAAAGGTGAAACTAATATATGAGATAGACTTATTACATGCAAAGCAAGATAGTTCAAGCTGTGATATGTCATAATTGTGATGATTATGGCTTACAGCTCATGAAAACCCCAAATCCAGAATCTCAGAAAATTAGAATATTGTGAAAAGGTGCAATATTCTAGGCTCAAAGTGTCCCACTCTAATCAGCTAATTAAGCCATAACACCTTTAAGGGGTTCCTGAGCCTTTAAATGGTCTCTCAGTCTGGTTCAGTAGGAATCACAATCATGGGAAAGACTGCTGACCTGACAGTTGTGCAGAAAACCATCATTGACACCCTCCATAAGGAGGGAAAGCCTCAAATGGTAATTGCAAAAGAAGCTGGATGTTCCCAAAGTGCTGTATCAAAGCACATTAATAGAAAGTTATTTGGAAGGGAAAAGTGTGGAAGAAAAAGATGCACAAGCAGCAGGGATGACCGCAGCCTGGAGAGGATTGTCAGGAAAAGGCCATTCAAAAGTCTTGGGGACTTTCACAAGGAGTGGACTGAGGCTGGAGTCAGTGCATCAAGAGCCACCACACACAGATGGATCCTGGACATGGGCTTCAAATGTCGTATTTCTCTTGTCAAGCCGCTCCTGAATAACAAACAACATCAGAAGCGTCTTACCTGGGCTAAAGAAAACGCAATTATTTACCTGTTAACTGTATTTCCAGGAATCTTCTAGGACAGCTTCACTTGAGAGATAGGGCTCCTCCCAGGAAACACCCGCTCCACCTTTTTTCCCCTTATAAGTATCCTCTCTCCCAGGGGACCCTCAGTATAAGAATATGACCGAAGGCCTAGGAGAAAGCAAAAAAAAAAAAACGGTAATAGAGACAACCCATCACAGGTTTATAACATGCCTGGACATCAGTACATAATCACACAGTAATCGGGAGGGAGTTACGCTGTCCTAGAAGATTCCTGGAAATACAGTTAACAGGTAAATAACTGCGTTTTCCCGAGTCATCTTCTAGGACAGCTTCACTTGAGAGGAGTTGAATAGAAATACATACATTAGGGTGGGCCCCTTGCTTGTAGGACCTTCCCACCGAACGCCTGGTCCTTGCTGCCAATCAGATCCAATCTGTAGTTCTTAGCGAAGGTGGCGAAACTGGACCACGTTGCGGCTCTGCAGATCTGTCCGGGGGAGGCCCCCGCCTTTTCTGCCCAGGAGGCCGCGGTGGCCCTGGTCGAGTGTGCTTTTAGGCCGGGCGGCGGTGACAGGGCCGCAGTTCTATAACCTTCTGAGATCACCTCTCTTATCCACCTTGCGATGGTGCCTTTGGAGGCACTATCCCCCTTTTTTGGACCCTGGAATAGGATGAAAAGACGGGACGAACGCCTGCATGTTTTTGTGCGCTCGATGTATGCAATCAAACATCTTCTCACATCGATCTTGCTGTAGTCCCCCTCTTCCGTGCTGCCTGGGTTGCCATCAAGGAAAGGTATTATTATTTCCTGTGACCTATGAAAATGTGACGCGACCTTAGGTAGAAATGCCGAATCTGTGCGGAGGATGATTCTATCCAACAGGATCATGAAGTATGGTTCGATTACTGATAGAGCTTGCAATTCGCTGACTCTGCGGGCGGAAACTAATGCTATAAGGAGGGTGGTTTTAAGAGTTAGAAATCTGAGAGAACATTCCTCCAGCGGCTCGAAAGGTTCTTGCTGAAAACTCTTCAGGACTGTGCCCAGGTCCCATATGGGGTATTTCGATGTGGACGGGGCTCGGCACCTAGAGATAGCCTTCAAGAACCTGATTATCAACGGGTCTGCCGCCAACCTCAACTCCAGAAAGTTTGACAAGGCCGCTACCTGCACTTTAAGGATATTGGCAGCCAGGTTCTTATCCGCCCCGGCTTGGAGGAATTCAAGCACTGTATGCAAGATGGGGGCTCCCGGGGCCTCATTCCTGTCCTTCCAGGAGGAAAATTTCTTCCAGACTTTATCATATATGGCGTTTGTCGAT